GTAGTGGAATGTGGAACCACGGCTTTAGATTCGGTGGTAACCAAATTCTGGCCCAGTGAAACACAATTGCGCACGTTTTAGCCTTTTACATACAAAAACGTTAAAATATAGTTCTTGCCCTATGTGCCAATTTTCCAATACACTGTATAAAAATAACAGTCTGAGAGGAAACTCAACTTTGAATTTGAAAGTTCGAAGTTAAGTTGCGCCAAWAAATTGAGGAGGAAAATTAAAGTGATGAAAATAAAGCTTAGGGCTTTAAAATGACAACAAAATTTAATTGTTGCGCTTGGTTAAAAAATGTTCTTATTGAGACATTAGTTCACATTAGTATTGCACCATCGTTTTTAAACCTTTTTAGTGTAGTGACCCCCAAAATAGGTATAAATATGGTCAATCACTTCGCGACCCCYCACCCCATCTACATAAGGTAAAAACTTGAACAGTAAGGTATATTCTATCATAGTATTATTATCAATATCAATTTTAAATCAACGTTTTATTGTTTTTGACCTACGCGACCCCAAGTAAAGATATTCGCGACCCCCTGGTATACAAACGCTGGTATACACTATCGTCTATCGTGAGATTTAAATTTATTCATTATGATGCTACATTTTACGGTAAACAATGAAATAAATTGATTATTATACCAAGGTATTTATGACGAAAGTGAAGTAAATTGACAGAAATTCGAGTACTTTCTTCCAATACTTATTTTATTTATTTAAAATTATCAAGTATAATTGTATAAACACTATAAATTATAAAATAATATACTTATAGATATTGTTTTTTTTTTAAACAAATAATAGAGTTTTTATAAACGATTTAATGATATCGATTATGATATCGATTGGCTTTTCCAGTTACAAATGAAACTGGTAAGGTATGTTTTCTACGAATTTCGATTCAAACTACCTATAATAATTACTATATCTAATTAAATTAATGATTAAATAAATGATTTAATATCTAATCTATACAAATGGTTTTTAAATTGCTTTTTGTCGAATAATATTGGATGAATTCAAGATGATAAAAACAAAATATGAATAGTTTCGATCAATTATTTTCAACTGTTGCTAGGTATATAGTATATACAGTATAAATATATTTTCACAACTCAGTATAAATGGTAGTATCGACATTATGAATAATATTGTATGGAAATTGTAAACACTTACTTATAATTTCTAATTTATTACTAACAGGTTTTATTAAATAAAATTCATAAGTCACAACTTAGCACTTAGGACAAAGCCGTATTTATGAATTTGCCAGTTTGCAGGGGCAACAATAACTTCTATCATTGGAACAAAAAAAAAAAAAAAAATTTGGTAAAAAATACCAATATTTCTAAACAATATACGTGTCATAATATTGAACACAAACACATTTTCACCAAAAATATAAATTAAATAAAATAGTACAAAAAATATTTTTTATACAAATAACTTGTAAAAGGCCGTTCTTACAATGTCCGGTTAAGTGTCGGTTAAGACTAACCGGTAAAATTCTATCGGTTAACTCATGATAAATTCTTCCGGTTAGTGTTCTTTCTATTATGTGACTTAGGAAATTCTTTAATTATATTATTATAAAGCTGCATGATGAATGTTAGTTGTGATTATTCCACAAATAACTTTGAATCACATTTYACATCTGAAGTTTAAATGATGATGAAATTGAATATTTACGCGTTGACAAAAGATTTCATATMATGCTCTTACAGGCGTAGACCTACATAGTGAGTGTGCTTYATTTATAATACGATTCCATACTTTTCAGCGATTGAATTTTGAATTTGAGCACCATTTATTGATATTAACCTTGTAAGCGAATTTGCAAAATCCGTGAGGTTGGTATACCTTTAATGATACGGCTACTAATGATAACCATAACCTCACAATACGAGTCGCAGTCTGTGTTGTTTACTTTTATTCGGTATAGGTACGACATTTCGACGTACGTCCACTTTTCCCGTATCCTCATCATACAAATTTGTAAGTATATTTTGTAAGATTTTCATCCGAATTTATCAATTCGATCTTCAGAAATATCTTTTATACGATTTCATCAAAAATCGAACATGTTCTTCTATTTAGTCTAATTGACATATTGATCATGATTGTATATTTTTTTTTTCGTAAGAGCAGTTDAAATCCCTGTAATTTGAAATTAATTTTTATCTTATTACTTTAGATTAACCATGTCGATCAAGCCAAAATATCGCCCACAAATAATCAAAAAACGTACCAAGAAGTTCATTAGACATCAAAGTGATCGTTATGATAAACTCAAGGTAAGTTTATTTATAATAGATAATATTTAATTTTCAAATGTTTAATTTTTCTTCAATGTTTTCCTTTTGTAGCCCAACTGGCGTAAACCAAAGGGTATTGACAACAGAGTCCGAAGAAGATTCAAGGGACAGTATTTGATGCCTAATGTTGGTTATGGAAGTGACAAGAGAACTAGACACATGTTGCCTTCTAAGTTCCGTAAAGTTCTTGTGCACAATGTTAGAGTAAGTACAACTAGCTTTATATCTTACCTTTATGGATTCTTATGGATTATTCAAATTTTAGGAATTGGAAATGTTGATGATGCAGAACAGGAAGTACTGTGGAGAGATTGCCCATGGTGTTTCATCCAAAAATCGTAAAACCATTGTTTCTAGAGCCCAAGAGTTATCCATCAGATTAACCAATGGAAACGCACGTATTCGTACACAAGAGGGTTAAGTTTTGTAATAATTAATTATTAATAAAATAAAAAATTCTCAAAATCCATTTCTTTTTTTTTTAATGTATGTATTCAATACATATATTATTCAACTCTTAATTAAATTAACAAAATAATTTTATTTTAAAATACACATTTTTAAAGGTAACAAAATTGTAAAATAAATGCCACTATACATCATAGTATTTCTTAAAATATATACAATTTTTYTTAATTCATACTATTTTGGTTACAAAATATTATTGATTTTGAAGAGAATCCTGGCACATTTTTGATGTCATTTCCATTAATGGTTCCAATTCTTTATTTATGACTAGATCAAACTCTGTTATGAAATAATAGAAATGCTTGTAACATGTATTTACGTGTGGTTCCTATAAAATATAATGCAAGTACAATTATTAAATAATATTAATTTGATTATAGCTAGAAATTAATTTAAATGGCTACTAACCCAAAAACAAAATAAAAGMATGAAATATCTCTATTAACAATCTAAGTTCAATTTAGGCTACATGTATATATTGTGTCCACATCAATTTCCCCTGGAAGGAGGGGTAGTGTTAGAATTTAAGCAGAAATTATAAATTTTTCTCAATTTAAAAAAAACATTTTTGAAAAACTTGCTACTAAGCGTAGCATTTACATTAGTGATGAAGTCATAGTGGTCATACCAATATAAAAATAAATTGTTATTTGTGTATTTAATATTTTAATACTAGCTAATGAATTTATTAAATTGTATACTTTATTAAATGACTATAGTGATTTTTATAGAACACTTACAAATTATAATACCCTTGAGTTTCTATGTTTAAGTACTTATTCTAATGTTACTTAAACTTATTATCAAATAAAAATAATATATTTCTTCATATAATACCATCCCAAATTTTAACTAATTAAATATTAATTTAAAAAAAAAAAAATTGCAAGCTGAATATTTTATTTTTTTATTGTAACAAGATAATATACTTACAGCTCCTATAGATATAATTCGATCAAAATGATGTATATAAACATGGACAAATACTCTGAATAATCGAGTAAGTATTTTTTTGCAAAGTGGCATAAAAGTCTTCGGAAATGGTACATCTATTAACAAATCCCATAAGTACAACAGTTTAAATAATATTTATTTTTTCTTATCATTAGAATTAATTTAAACATACCTGTAGATACTGGAAATAGGTTCTCATTATTAATTTGTGCTTCAATCCAATCCATGAGCAGAGAAACATACTGAGGTGCTGGTAGTGCAGTTGGTTTTTTATATCTTTCTTTATCAGCCCATAAATATTCAAACTTTGGGCCACCGCTCATGGTTGGACATGATGTTTCATTACAGTAGTCACAAACGGTGCCATAAATCAAATTTATACGATTGAAAAAATCAACCACTGAAAATGAGAAGTTATGTACTAGTATCAAGAGTTCGGTACACAGAAAAATATTTTAWCAAAACAGTATGTAGGTATTTTAAGAAACAATAAGATTCTCAAGCCCATAYAGGATAATTGAGTTTTTGTTTACTATTGTACTATATGTGGACACAGCATTACAACTCATTATGACATAAAAATTATTACCTATGTTATGGGGTTATGATGTATTAAGATTATAACACTAGTGCTCAAGTATGTCAGTTTTTTAAGCACATCAATTAAGTGGTATTATTATTAAATTATATTTAACTAAGTGAAATGTCAATTCTAGACATTTGATAAATCTTCTATTGTCGATTTTACTGGTAAGGAAATATTTAAAAATAAATTARTATTCATAGAACTCATTTTACTTGTTTGTAATTTTGTTATTACTAACTGCCAGCATAAATGTGATAAATGATAATTTGTGTAAAATCAGATTCAACTCCATACATAAAAATTATGTCTATTAGAAGTTCAAGCACAGAATAGAACACAGAATTTCATCTATTCTGTGGTTCAAGCATGAATAATTTACAGAATAGGTGAAAAATAAGATATTATATCTATTCTGAGTAAAAAAAAACATAAGACTCTTTAGTGAAAATGTCCATATTATCATATCCACTGATATTGCAATACCTCCATAATTTTTTTTTTAGCTGAATATAGATGTTTTAAAGGTTATATACATATATAAACTAAAACATCATTAAACCTTTTTTTTTCATCAACAGAATATAATTATATTACAAACGCGACTTTACTAAGTAGTCAGTGAACTATGCTTGTGACTAGTGTTATAAAATTATTGAAAATTATTTTGAAGACATTTTTATAGCATTTGGGGATACTGAATTTCTGTAAAATATGTGCCTATGAACATAATAATTATGACTGCATATTGTTTACATGATTAAAACATTTAATAAATGTTAAATTTTGTTTTAGAGAATTACATAGAGTTTAATCATTGAATATTGATATATCTATATCAGTAATTAATGCTAAACTTAAGATTAATTAATCGTAATTAAATAATAGTATAAATCATTTAATAATAATACCATGAACAGCAATCCAATCATATAAGTCTTCTCCCGGTGGCAATTGTACTGCGCATCTTAAATTTATGCCAGAGTTCAAAGAAGCTTGTGCATGTTTATACAGCGAATAACGAAGAGTACCAGGTGAAAACTTTTTCTTCGGCCTAAAGGTCTAGAAACGTATTTTTAATGGATTATTTAACATTGTGTAGAATAGTTCATTCGTAATATAAATATACCTATAAATTATAATACAATATTATGGCACTTACTTTTCCTTTTTGAAAAAAATCAATAAAACCACCAAAAGACATTTTTGTTTTTTGGTTAAAGTTATTCAATACTTGATGGATAAATACTGTTCCGGAAAGTTAAAACTAAACCATAAATTTAATTCATAGTAAAAAATAAATAATAATTAACTAAAAATCAAGTGGTCGTTTTATCTGCCCATTATAATTTGTAATACATGAATGATACACAAAATCAGTGCATTGAGATAACATTATCAAGTGTAATTTTTTGATATGCGATAATGTTAATGGATATTACAGGTTGACACAGTTATTACCATAAAAAAGTTATACTTTTTTAGTTAGTAATTTAATATTATAACAAGGTAAAACTAAGACAATTTTTTTAATTTTTAATGACCAATGTTTATCTTTGATTTCTGAGTTTTGGACTGCAAAAAATCGTTATGATGCTAKCGTTCATGCGGAAATCAATATTTTTTTAAATTTATAGACAAAGAATTCAACAATATATCATACACAGACATGTTAATAAATTATAATAGGTTAATATTATATATGTCTATTATAATTTATAATAATTACAATAAAAATAAAAATAAATTAAAATATAAATCATAATATTATAATTATATTTATATTTATTTATAGTATAATCATATAGGATTATGGGTATCATATTATGTTCCTGATAAATATATTATATTTTTAGATGTATATATAATTATGTAAATTGAGTGCGCTAGCTGTTATTCCTATAATGATGAATAGCTGATTTTTGAGAATAAACAGTGAGAGTGAGCATTACCCTATGAAAAAATAGAGCCCTATGCCCCTATTCTAGCTTTTATTTGATTATTTTATTGTTCCGTGTTTCTAGTAAGTATTGTGTTGATACAAAAAAAAAAACCTAAACTTGTTGTAGTTCGTGGTTTCTAGTAACCTGTACATAATCTAAAATCATRGTTATTATTTGTATATTATTAGCTGTAATACCCGACTTTGTCCTTGAAAAAATTACCATATTGTATAAAATACAGTGCTATTTAGGTATGATAATAATTATTTTTTCAAGTTTTTAGGACCGGCTGTATCCGTGTATCTCGGTTTTAGTGTAAAAAGATAAATTATAGATATGGTATGGTAATATTTAAAAAATAAGAATGATCTATATCCGTGGTGACAACCATGATTTAAGATTAAGATATCTGACAACTGACAATCGATTCAATTTTGTTTCTGATTGGTCTGAATTTTGCCCTCGATTCTCTTGTGTATTTTATCACAGAATAGATAGCACTATCTTAAATCGTGCTCAATACTGATTAAAAATTGGGAATATTAAAATATTTAATAATAAATAATAGCAGCTCACAAGTCACAAGTAAATTGTAAATTTGTAAATCGCGGTTCATGTATTCATGATCAAATATTTAAAACTAAAATTTTAAATTATAGTTGAAAAGTTGAAATTATATTGCAAAAAATCATTAAATATTGAGATCATATAGACAGCGTTTATTTTTTTAGTAAATAGTACTAAGAAATATGTTTACTATTATACCAAATTGTATGAAAATAATATAATTTGTGTTGTTACGAATTATGATGGAAATATCAAAGTTTAGAAAAATAAATAAAGATCGCCTATCTACATTTTTGGAACACTTGGAAAATAAAAACTTAGATACTGACGAGATATTTGGAAAATGTTTAGTAAGTCACTATTTGATAATATTTCCAATAGTTACTAGTGAGTTTGGTTTTWACGAAATGAGATCAGAATTGTCATTTAACCAAATAAATATTAGTATACTTTATTAAAGTTAAAGATCAAACTTTAAATTTATAATTAAATCTTTTTATTTTTTATTTTAGATGATCTTGAAAACATTATTATACACTTCATCAAACTTTATCCCCGACAGTAATCTCAGTACACAGAACAACATTCAAGCATTTTTGTATTCTATTAATTTTGATGTAATAGAAGCTGATCACATGATCAAATTGAAATCAATACTTGATGAAGGGGCAGACTTTCATATTTACACTAGATACATAGAATCTATCTTAAATAAAAACAACAAGTCATTGAATTCAATTTTAATGACTATTTGGACTCAATTAGGATCAAATGTATTGAGATTGCCTATAATTATTCATGAAAAAACCATTGAAGTGAATCCTGTAATTTTCGAAAAAACTATTTTGTCTGCAATATCTTTGTGGGAGATTAATGACTTAATTGATGTATGCTCTAAATCGCCATTGGTATTTCAAACATGTTCAAGTATATTTAACGAATTGCTCATTAAGTTAAACTTTTCCAATAAATTTATGGAGTTCTTAACCTACTTTGTAAATAATGTCACTTCACGTTGCAAAAACAACGATATTGATATTGTTAATATCTATCCAAACAAATGCAGAAGTGTATTAACCTTAAGGGACATTAAGAACAAAAATTCAATTCTAGTTACAGAAAATGATTTAAATGATGAAATAAAAAAATTAGCTTTAGCTTACCCCAAAGAATCTATTTGCTTGCTAAGTCATTTTCCAGATTTATACATACCATCTGAAGAATCTTATACCAATACGATTAGTTAATACGCCATGGGTGTTTTTGTTTATCTCAAATGAATTTCTTGTTAAAAACTAAGCTTAACAAAACAACAGTAATAATTGATACTTTACAATACCTACCTATCTATATTTACCAAATACCAATATTACACTACGACTACGTACTATGGTACATATATAATACACTTACCTACATGGCTATGTATTAAACTAACATTTTATATAGATTGTATACCAACGAACATAGTTATTATAATTTAATTGCTTTTATGATGTATTTATACCGTTTACTATAGTTATAAATTTATAATATGTTGTATTAATATTTGAAAATATCTATCATGATGAAATTCATTGTCTACTTAAAAGTAAATTAATTATAAAAAGTTAGTTGATTTTTGAACGACCGCATTAAAAAAAATAAATTATTTTAATTTCCCTCTTTAATTACTTGTATATATCTATATATAAATATATTTATTGTTTTTAATAATTAAAAATATTTTGCTTGATTCATTTATTTATTTTTTTTTTCAAATATCTAAATTGAGATTTAGTTTTAGAAAATAAATAGAAATGTTTTTCTACTATATTTGTCTGCCATTTAATTTTGTTTTTACACTCAGATATTTAGATATTTCAGCTGGTGGTTATAGTGGTTAAACAACATACATTTTACTATAAATAATAATATTAAGCTATTAGGTAAAAATTATTTGTAAAATATAATGATTTTAAACAAATTAAGTATATCAATAATGTATGTTGGATAACTTAAATTATCAATTCACCTTAGTTTGTATTGTTATTTGTTTATTTTTATTTTATGTAGGTATAGTCAAATTTGATAACTTGGGGTCAAAATGTTTATCTTACTTATAATTTCCTCTTAAAAATATTCTCTTTATTATTTAATTAATGTAAAACAAATATTCTGTTATCCTAAATCATTTTAGTAGGTAGTGTCCTAAATTTTAACTTAAATACCTATTGATTTTTACTAATTAATAATCTCGTTTTGATGACGTTCGGAAAAATACACTAATTGAATGAAATATGTGAGTGAAATTGAATTTTGTATAATAATTAACAAGAACAACTATCTTTTTTCAAATATGTCATTATATGTATAACTACCTCTCTGGTAAAAAATAAACCTATTTATGGTAAAATTAACGGTTTAAAGTTGAAATTTGTGATAAATAACTGATCCGGGTGCTGGGGTAATGTTACCGTGGCACCCATACAATGACATTGTAATTCATAAGAGTTTGAGGGTTGTACAACATTTAATTTTGGTTACAAAAAATTGTACAAAATAAAGTACATAATATTGTTTTATTACAATTCATGATTTCGAAAGTACGGGTACTGAGGAAACGCAGCACTCAGACCTATTAGTAACTAAGTTTAAAAAATGCGCCACGAGACAAATAAATTGAGAACCACTTGTATGAGTTAATAGATTAGACTTTTGGGTCTCCGTGACTTCAACGAGTATCTCAGTGAGGTACAGTATTCTTGTTTCTGAGAAATAAAWAAAAATAATTTATAAATATATAATTATATATTTATATTATATGTATACTGTATGTCTGTATACATAGAGTATTAGAGTATGAGTATGAACAATTTATATGGTTCAATAAAATTGCAACACAAATTAATGAAACAAATGTTATAGAGAAAATGTATTTAAATTCATTAATCTTAGGTTCCTATACTGGCTATACTACCAAGTGTTATTTACGATATAATTTCAAAACTGTCAAAGATGGCACGTTAGTCGATAATTATACTTATACTTTGTATACAAATTACAAACCATCCGCCTGTTATACAACTTAAACATAGGTATAAGTATAAAATAAATATATGTAATTTATTTCTAATTAAGTCTAGGGAAATTGTCCCGTTCACTACAAAGTAGGTACAAACCTATATGCAAACAGTTTACGAAATGCATGATGCATTTATTCATATTAGATGCGATTAGTTTCGCAAAATCAATCTATTCTATCAAAATTACGTATACGAGCCACGAGGTATGACAAATAAATAACAATTAATTAATACCTTCTTATAATAATATTAGTTTACTATTTACGCACTAGGAACCCATTCAACAAAAATTATTCCCTTATGTCAAAGAAAACAATGAGTATTGCTTTGAATTTTGACTTGCTCATTCGTACTTTCTATTCATTCTTAAGGAACTTGGTGTCTTCCAAATTCCAATGCATGAATTGCCTTTTAGTTTCAGGATCATATGTAAAAATACACGTTTCATCACATGTAATAATATTGTTTATAAAAGATGGATCGTCTTTGATAATTTTTAAGGTGTCTGAACAAATTTCTTTGCGATTGAATTTTTAATCAAAAATGTCAAACTTTTAGGGACCATTTTAGCACACAATTTTTTCATATTTAAATTTTCAACTAAAATTTTATGAACACTTTCTCTATCAATATTTACCATCTCTGCTACAGTTCTAACACTTAATCGACGATCTTGATGAATAATTTCGTCGATTTTTTTCAACGTTTTCGTTTGTTGAAAAAGAGGCAGGACGTTCATCGTCTTCGGCGTCCTTACTTCCACCATAAAACCGTTTGTGCCATTCAAAAACGCGAGCTCATGATAAACAATCTTCACCATAAACTTCACATAACATACGAAAGGATTCCGCGGCAGTTTTTTTTTAATTTAACAAGAAATTCAATGTTGACATGTTGTTCGATTTTTATATGATCAAACATTTTTCGGCAGTATAGCCGAACTCACACTAATAACAATAAAACTACTAAAACTGAGTAAAACTACTATAACGTATAAGAAAACGAACCGATTTCGTCAGGGTTTATAGTAATTTTAGATAAGTGTTTTCTAATCATATTTCAATAAACGTTTAATAGATTATCTATTATAATTTATAGATGGTAATCGGAAAAAAAAGTCTCATACTAGGAAAAAAAGTCAGTTGTGCTTCGTATTTTAGTGTGTAAGTGTATAATGAATAAAATGCTTGTACATATTATATATTTGTCATCTACCATAATAAGTAATAAATAATAGAAAAAAAAGTTTACTGGAAAATTTACCAAAATACTTATTCTTATACTGCAGTTGTACAGTTGTACAGTTGTACAGTTGTACTTTGTACTTATTGTAGTTATTTGCATTATTATTATAATTATATAGGTACCTAAGGTACCTTAAATGTATTTATTATTGACTATTTGACTTATTTATTATTGACCATTTATTACTGTATTAAATTTTATTATTTTATTATATGACTTTTTATGTAACTTTGATGTATTTTTCAATACAATTTTACCATATTTATTATTTATACTTAAATGTTGTTAATTTTCATTTATTTTTATCGGGACTTTGTATTAAATTAAATTAAACTATATTTTAATATGTGATTTAAGTAAGTAATTAACATTTTTTATGATATTATATGATATTATATGACTTTTTATGTATTTATATATTTATCGGGACTTTTTTTCCTAGTGTGGGACTTTTTTTACCGGGACATTTTTTCCGCGATTCATTATAGATAACGTTAATAGTTTAGGTTATATTTAGAAAGTCTCGTTATTTTATTGTCACACTGCGAGACATAGCATTGAAAAACATTTTTGCAGGTAAGTGGGTAATATTATACTAATAAACTAATAACTAGGGCTGGAATTTCGATGCACTTTGCATTGTTTTTCAAAGCTTACTGTGCAATGCTTGTCTTGTCACAAATTTGTTTTATGTACATTTGAATGAGAATAAGAAAGTTTATTTTGCATTTTTTGGCGTTTTTTAGTTTTTAGGTCATTTTCTTAATTTTTTAGGGCATTTTAGAGTTTTTGGAGYATTTTTTRAGTTTTTGGAAACCAAGTGTATGAATTTGAAATTTTGTTTTAAGATTTTTACACCAACATGGTTTTTAAATAAATATAACAGATTATAAGTATAGGTACTCCTAATTCGTATTATATTAAGGTTTGGTAACCTCTACCCTCATTTCCTGTTAAATAATCTTAAATCGGTAAAATCGACGTCCGATAATATTATATCAGTTTACACTTGTAATAGATTTTTATAATGTATTTTTAAAAACTTTTTATTGTAATTTATACTAAAATTATAAAAAATAAAAATTTTTGTAGATTTATTGCCCTTTTTTAGGGCATTTTTCGGGGTTGTTTAGGGCATTATTTAGAGTTTTTAGGTCATAAAAGCATTCACCAAACACATACAACAGGCCTCCCGCGTAAGGCTACCGACTCAGCGACAGCCATAGGCAGACTGATGCCCAACATCGGCG